CCCTACCCCGCCCACCCCACCCTACGGGAGACTGGTGGGAGGAGCTTCCTGTACCCGACCCCGCCCACCCCTCAGGTGGGAGGAGCTTCCTGTACCTGACCTCGCCCCATGCGACACAGGTGGGAGGAGCTTCCTGTACCTGACCTCGCCCACCCCACCCCATGCGACACAGGTGGGAGGAGCTCCATTTTGTTAAGTAACTGTCGTGTGTTCCATACATGATAGACTCTCCATCCCTACATTTCAGCTGTCAAGTGTCCTATAGAAAGAATCCCTACACTTCGCTACCCTAGATTTACAAAGTTCTATCAGCTCAGTTAACTCGGTACCTAGTTTTGAGAAATCTGACGTAAAAAATCTTGAGTTTCACAACATGTCAAGCTTTTTAGAAAGCAGCTTTTAAAATATCTTGATAACGACTAGGAATAATCTCACGATCAGGGATGCCAAATGATTTTTGAAAAAAACCCTGGAAATGAGCGGAGCGTCACATCTCACCTAAAACGAACCTTGCAAAAACTTTAATGAGCCAAGAAAAACATTTCTCTTACCATTTCACTTTCCTTTGCAAGTGTAGGAAAACAACAGAAAAAGCCGGAAAAACCGGAGATTTGGCATTCCTGCACAATTTTGATAGAGCGGACTGAACATTTGGTTTCTGACCTCATAGTCTTAGTGACTTAAAATGGCCAAAAATGTCAGATACAACTTTGTAATTCTAAGATAGCGACTCTATATCTTTGCCAGCCCAACTTCCCACACCTGAAAGCAAGGATCCAGCTCCTACATTCTCCATCCTGTCATTCAACCAAAAGTAATCTAAACAGAAAGTTCCCATGAGATGATTTTGTTAATTCTCGTTAAAACAATGGCTGGAGGGTGGTGAATTCCTCCCCTCACTTTGTAGACGACCAACAGAAAACCCTGGCTATAACAAGTAACACGTTGACCTTCCACGGCGTGCGCGGCCAGCTTCCAAAAATCACTGCCGACCGACACGCAGATCTTGGAAAAACATAGAGGGAAGGGTGCTAAGAGCTGACTGCTGCCATTTTGTTATTTACTGTTTCAAGAAAACGATGAGGAAAAAATATGGTAGCAGTCGTAGAAACCCATCTGGATGTGATTCATGTCGCATGATGTCAACACTCCTGTCAGCAAGGGTCAACACTCCTGTCAGCAAGGGTCAACACTCCTGTCAGCAAGGGTCAACACTCATGTCAGCAAGGGTCAACACTCATGTCAGCAAGGGTCAAAATCTCTTCCGGTTAACGGTGGTCAAAGCCTCCTCTAGTCCCCATAGACTTGGGTTCTTGTCTCAAGCTCTGTGCTCATCTATCCATCACTACTATGCTCATCCATCTGTCTATCCATCACTCCTGCGCTCATCCTTTACTCCTGCATTCATCCTTCACTCCTGTGTTCATCCATCCGTCTATCCATCACTCCTATGCTCATCCATCTGTCTATCCATCACTCCTGCGCTCATCCTTCACTCTTGTATTCATCCATCACTCCGGCATTCATCCTTCACTCCTGTGTTCATCCATCCGTCTATCCATCACTCCTGAGTTCATCCATCACTCCAGGGTCACAGCACAATTCTTTTCCTTCAACTGCAGGTGTTCTCGTACGGCCTCGTAGACACAAATCAGATCATTTAGGAGGCGGGCTTGCAACTGTGCCTGTCAAGGCCAACCCCCAGCTGAGAGGGATACAACATCCCAGCAGACAGACAGACATACTTGATGAACATTCGACCCACTGGGGAACCCTGTGTGGCACAGCAGAGTGTCTACCTACTATACCACTCAATGAACATTCGACTCACTGGGGAACCCTGCGTGGCATACGCCACTCGATGAACATTCGACTCACTGGGGAACCCTGCATGACACAGCAGTGTCTACACACTACACCACTGGCTGAACATTCGACCCAATGGGGAACCCTGCATGGCATACACCACTCGATGAACATTCGAACCCTGCGTGGCACAGTAAAGTGTCTACCTACTGCACCACTGACGCCTGTCCGTCAAAACTCTCCGGTTCTGCTAAGACACGAGTAGCCCGAGGGTCGGTGAGTGCATCATGCAGGAAATGATAGGCAAATTTTGAGACAGAAAGGGTTAAAAACGACTCACAAAAGAAATAAAAAAGGCATGACAAAATGCAGCGCAGGTAGTAGCATTGTGGTAAAAAACCCCAAAAAAACCTAACGTTAGGCGAGTCAGTTGCAGAGTTTACCGTAGTCAGCAAACACGTGCTACATGCAACTACCACGACCGAAATAGGAACACAAAGTTAACTTTGGCAAAACATTTTTGGTCCTTTTCTTCTCATTCCTTTCACAAAAATGTGTTTCTAGTCCTTTTCTACTCATAGGTTTCAGAAAAACTTTCCTCTGTTCGCAGTTATAGCTCATTCACGATTCCTGATTCCTCCCCGCCCGCCCGGTCCATCAGTCCAGCTCGTCACAAGCAGCATGACGGGGTGGGGGCGAGAGTGGGGAGTTGAGGGAGGGGGGATGGGAGGGGGTAAGGTAGCTGCTCCGCTCACATAAGCCTTGAAGAACCATCACAGCTTTCTGGGCCGGCCCTAGAGGGGCCTTCTCTGTTTCTGGCCACACGGCCATCTCTAGTGGGGCGATCTATGTCTCTGGCAACCGGTGGGGCCGTCTCGTCCATGTTGGCTGACAGACTGGCGGTGGAGCTATCACATTTCCCACTCGGCACTCAGCACTTGACACTCAGCACTGACGTGGAACCAGTAGAACCCAGGCTCAGCCCGGAGCTGTCATGCACAGCGTCATGCGGCCAGAACTTCGGAAAAGTGAGTAGTAGAAGTAGTCCGGTGACGCACGCCACATGCCAGGAATACATGCCACTTGTCACCGATATATATATATATATATATCACATGAAACATGCCAGCAAAACATGCCACACACGCAAAATGTTGGCAATCCATGCCACGCACAAAATGTTGGCAATGCGTGTCATACGCGACATGCTAGCAACACATGTCACACGCGAAATGTTGGTTGGCTATCTGTGTCGCACGCGACACGCCAGTAAACCATGCCACACGCCACATCATGCCAGGGGTGGGTGAGGTGGGGGTTCGGGGAGGGGGGGGGAGGGGAGGGGGGTGTGGAGCCGGTGCTATAAGGTGGTCACGTTTACCATGGGGTTCCTGTCGAGGGAGTCCGAAGACGCCGGCCGGCCCCGCTCTTGCAGCTCATGCTGGCCTGGCGGAGACCGGCTATAGCGGGGAGGGGGTTCGGATCCCATGCCTCCGCCGCCGCCACCACCAGTCCCACTGTCCTTGGGGTGGTAGCCGGGCTCCAGGTTGCGAGAACGTCGAATTATCTCCCTTGCTGCGAGGTTCATCTCTTCTGGGGTCATGTTGGTGGCCTCGGCGATCTCGCGCTGTAGACACTGGGGGTCCACGTACCTGTTGAGGCCCTCGTCCTGGAGTACCTGAGACACACACACAGACAGACACACTGTTAGACACACAATGTCTTTTAGCTTAGTTTTAGTAAGAGTTTTACGGCACTTGCAAAACAATAAGGTCATATAAGTGCCGAAGAATAGATTACGGGTTACAAGAGAGTAACATAAACAAAAATGGAGAGATAAGGACGACAGATGTTTGATAGGAAAGGAGGAGCAAACCACACCAGAGCACCCGCCATCCACCCATACACAATGTCTACAAATGGGTGTGCAGGTATGCATATATACACAAATCTGCATTTATGTATATAAAAAATGAATTATATGAGGCATCGTGGTGAAATCAGGCCCTTGTGAAAATGATAAAATCAAAGAAATTGTCATTTTTCAGGCCATGGGAGTGGCTACTACCTTGGCTACAGTATGGGTGTGGCTACAGTATGGGTGTGGCTACTACCTTGGCTACAGTATGGGTGTGGCTACAGTATGGGTGTGGCTACTACCTTGGCTACAGTATGGGTGTGGCTACTACCTTGGCTACAGTATGGGTGTGGCTACTACCTTGGCTACAGTATGGGTGTGGCTACTACCTTGGCTACAGTATGGGTGTGGCTACAGTATGGGTGTGGCTACTACCTTGGCTACAGTATGGGTGTGGCTACTACCTTGGCTACAGTATGGGTGTGGCTACTACCTTGGCTACAGTATGGGTGTGGCTACAGTATGGGTGTGGCTACTACCTTGGCTACAGTATGGGTGTGGCTACTGCCTTGGCTACAGTATGGGTGTGGCTACTACCTTGGCTACAGTATGGGTGTGGCTACTACCTTGGCTACAGTATGGGTGTGGCTACAGTATGGGAGTGGTTACTACCTTGGCTACAGTATGGGTGTGGCTACTACCTTGGCTACAGTATGGAAGTGGCTACTACCTTGGCTACAGTATGGGAGTGGCTTCTAACCTTGGCTACAGTATGGGTGTGTCTTCTAACCTTGGCTACAGTATGGGAGTGGCTACTACCTTGGCTACAGTATGGGAGTGGCTACTACCTTGGCTACAGTATGGGTGTGTCTTCTAACCTTGGCTACAGTATGGGTGTGTCTTCTAACCTTGGCTACAGTATGGGTGTGTCTTCTAACCTTGGCTACAGTATGGGTGTGGCTACAGAATGGGTGTGGCTTCTAACCTTTGTACAGGACAGGGGTGGCTACAGTGAAGGTGTGGCAACTAACCTTGGCTACAGTATGGGCGTGGCTACAGGGAGGATGTGGCTACTAATCTTGGCTACAGGGAGGATGTGGCTACTAATCTTGGCTACAGGGAGGATGTGGCTACTAACCATGGCTACAGGGAGGATGTGGCTACATGGCGGGTATGCCTACAGTATGGATGTGGCTACTAACCCTGGCTACATGGCAGGTATGGCTACAGTATGGGTGTGGCTACTAACCTTGGCTACATGCCAAGTGTGGCTACTAACCATGGCTACATGACAGGTGTGGCTACTAACCTTGGCTACATGACAGGTGTGGCTACTAACCTTGGCTACAGTATGGATGTGGCTACTAACCTTGGCTACAAGGCAGGTATGGCTACATGACAGGTGTGGCTACTAACATTGGTTACATGACAGGTGTGGCTACATGACAGGTGTGGCTACTAACCTTGGCTACAGGGAGGATGTGGCTACATGGCGGGTGTGGCTACAGTATGGATGTCGCTACTGTATGTGTGTGGCTACATGACAGGTGTGGCTACTAACCTTGGCTACATGACGGATGTGTCTACAGTATGGATGTGGCTACTAACCTTGGCTACCAGAGTCTCGGCACTGCTCCTCCTGTGCTGTAGGGAGCGCGGTACAAGCTGCTGTTGTAGCTGTTGCTGTAGCTGCTGTTGCTGTAGCTGCTGCTGCTGCTGCTGGACGGCGTTGGGGATGAGGAGGGGCCCGCGGTCGGGCGCGCGGTGGAGGTGGCCGGACAAGTCCGGGAGGGCGGACGAGTCGCTGTGGCGGTGCTGTAGTCGCGGCTCTTCCCATGAGTCACCTGGGGGTGGGGGGAGACAGGTGGAGGGGGTTAGAGCCACGGGAGATGAGCATCGTGTCAGTTTTTGTGTCATTTTTTTTGTTTTGTTTGAGTGAAGAGAAGCACATCGAAAAAATAATTGTCATTTAGTGCTGGAGAAAAAGTAAAACAGTAAGACAGTTTGAGTTTCACATCATGTCAGGCATTTTCAAACACAATTCTTTGAATATCCTGAAAACGACTCCTAATAATCTTACGATTTTGATAGAGCTGATAGTAGATTCGGTTTCTGACCTTATGGTCTTAGCAACTCAAAACGTCCAAAAATGTCAGAATTTCGTAATTCTGAGGTAGCGACTAGTGGTACAGATATTAAGTTTTTCTCTCTCACTTTCTCTCACTCAATATAACTGTCTCCATCTTTCTGTCTCTTACATCTCCTGTGTAGCTACACACAGGACACCCGAGTTCAATTCCCGAGTGGGGAGAAATTTCCATCAAGTATCTCTGTCTTCCTGTGGGGATGTTGTATAGTGAGTATCCCTCTCAGCTGGGGTTGGCCCTGACAGACAGGGTCGGAAGCCCACCTCCTAAATGACCTAATTTGCGTCAATCATGTTGTAAAAACACCTACAGTAAAATACAATTTAAAAAAAATTCTAGTCGTAAGTCTATTCAGTCATTTCCCTTCAAGTTAATACTGGAAGTACCATCTAGTATCAATAGGACCATCACAGTGGAATAACCTTCTGGTATCTATTGAAACATCACAGTGGAATAACCGTCTGGTATCTATTGAAACATCACAGTGGAATAACCGTCTGGTATCTATTGAAACATCACAGTGGAATAACCGTCTGGTATCTATTGAAACATCACAGTGGAATAACCTTCTGGTATCTATAGGAACATCCCACTGGAATGACCTTCTGGTATCTATAGGAACATCCCACTGGAATGACCTTCTGGTATCTATAGGAACATCCCACTGGAATGACCTTCTACTAGACTTCTAGTTTGTATAGGAAAGTACTACTGGGATTATCTGCTAGTTCGTATTGAAATGTAATACTGGGATTACCTTCTAATCTATTGATAAAAAAACTATAGTAAAGAGATAAGAAGCAGAAACTGTATATATGTATGTATTAAGTATAGGCAAAAAAACTGAAAACACAAATACAATACTCAGTTTTGAAAATTAAAAACAATTAAAAGGACCAAATAAATAGTGACACAGTGTACACCATTGAAAAAGTGAAAGCATTTTTTACGAAGAAGATGAAATTTTGCGAAACATTTTGACATCAATAAGGATGGAAGACCTCTCTACACATCACCTGACTCGGTAATTACGAGCTGTTCAAAAGGTCAAGGCAATCACAGAGCAGACAGTGACGAGACCACGTTTTTCTTTGCCCATCAGCCCGATACTATTTGTGAGGTGTGCCGACAAAAAGAGTTACTTCTTGGATTTTAGTCTGAAGGAAATTAATACGACAAATTTATAGGTTGACTTTTTACAATTTATTAGTATGAAATGATAAAAGACATGTTAAGCTTGAAGAGAATGGCATTGGTTCAGAATCTATGGATATAACCTTTGTGTTGATTTTCAGCCGATATCTCCATTCATGGATTGCGAGAAGTGACTCATTTTGTCAGCAAGCCTTACATTTAACACATACAACAAAACACAGAATGACCCAGTGTGTTGAGTGAGTATAAAACAAACTCTCCACCACTCTGGGCTGTGCCAGCCGTGTCACAAAAATATGCTGACAAATAGGGAAGAAAAACCTTGAAACAAAAAAAAAAGCAACCCAAAAAGCCAAAAACTGTATGTCAAAGTTGTAAATAAATATTTTTTCATCAAAAGCAACACAAGTGAACAAGCTTTAAGATGACACCAATAATTCCATATGGCCAAAAATGGACAGGCACCTGATTCCACCGCATCATCGTGACCCACAAATCATTTCACCGCCAACATGCAAAAAGCACACAGACCCAGACCCAAGACTCAGATGAAAAAGACACCAAAAACCAAAAAAATATAGGAAACACCATCTTTTTAGTTTTAGTAAGAGTTTTACGGCACTTGCAACACAATAAGGTCATATGAGTGCCGTAAACACCATCTTACGTATAGCTTGGAATACATTGAAATAGAACCAAAAAAAAAAAAAGCAGCAAATAAGATTAAACGTGGCGTGGAAAAAAAAGCGTGTAACTGCTTCTGAAAACACAGCATTCGTAGCTAAGTATAGACTCACACGGACAGTACTACCATAGCTTGAAGCAAAACGCTTGTAGTTTTAGTGAGAGCTCTACGACAAGCGTAACACAAGCAGACCATACAAGTGCTGCAGATTTGAGGCGTTACTAGAGAGTAATATACACAGAAAAAGAATAAGAAAGAGAGATAAGGACCATAGATGTTTGATAGGAAAAGAGAAGCAAGCCACAGCAGAGCACCTGTCAACCACCCACTAACAAAACGGGTATCTTTCAAAGTCTTTGCAGAAGCAGTAAAGTGTACAGCCCAGATACGACACGCCAGTTGACACACGCCAGTTGACACACACTGTGACAGCAGATGACACACTGCCATGGATACCTATCCGAGATGGGACCTTTTGGTTAACAAGTTGGCAAGGTTGATACTAGAAGAAATGATAATAACCAGGTCATGAAAAATTTGCTTTTACTTGATATCATGGAATATCCAACTTGCTATTACTTGATATCATGGGACTATTACTTGATATCATGGAATATCCAACTTGCTTTACTTGATATCATGGGACTATTACTTGATATCATGGAATATCCAACTTGTTATTACTTGATATCATGGAATATCCAACTTGTTATTACTTGATATCATGGAATATCCAACTTGCTATTACTCAAAATTAGAAATATCCTTGACTACCTTTAGAGTCCCATCTCAGACAGCCACAGAAGTGAAAGCAAGACAGAGAGAACACCAACACTGATGACTACCTAGAGAGTCCCCATCTCTGATAGTCACAGAAGTGGAAGCCAGACAGAGAGAACACCAACACTGATGACTACCTAGAGAGTCCCCATCTCTGATAGTCACAGAAGTGGAAGCCAGACAGAGAGAACCAGAGCCAGGCCCAAGGACAGGGTGCACTGTGCAGCGTTAACATACAGGGTGCCACGGTGTGCTACAAGACATCTACTTCTACAACTACCACAACTACTACAACAACTACAACTACTACTACAACTACAACAACACTAGAGCTTGTTCACTTTACTCTGTCCATCTCAAAAATATTCTGGCTCGTTTATTTATTTACCAATGGAAATAAAATTCTGGGTCGTTTATTTATTTACCAATGCAAATTTTGGCTCGTTCATTTATTAACCAATGCAAAGGTAATTCTGCATAGGATTCCTGTAAGCCAGCAACCCAACTAAAATATTTCAAAGAACAATCTTGATCCAAAACTTTAAAAAGTTCCTTTAGGTCCTATCTCAAACACCACCCTCTGAGTGCACACACAGGATCACGACAGTAAATGATTTACAGTAAATTATAGTTTGTAAATTATAGCCTACAAATTGCTCATTTTGAGACAGCGACACCACCTTGGTGAAATAGTATGAGTTTAACGCCCCTATCAACACTATTAGGTTATTTAAGAGGCGGGACCTCCTAGTTTAACGTCCGTCTCCGATAGGACCGAGCCAAGTGGGAAGTTCGTGTAAAGTGTCTTTCCCAAGGACACGACGTCGGACCGAGCTGAGGCTCGAACCCCCGAACCCGCAATCTCACGATTACGAGTCCGGTAGCCTAACCACTAGGCTACCGACGCCACGACACCACCTTGTTGCTGCGCCCACATTGCAGTATAATCACTTAGTGCAAAGACTGGAGATGACTTAACTTAAACAGAGCCATTGGTTCCATCTTGTTTGAACTTGGGACAGGTGAGAGTGAACAAACTATAGGACATACAAGCTACAGGATATGTGCCATACAACGACTACACTAGGACGTCTACATCTCTACTCTAGGACATAACACTAGGACACTACACTAGGACATATATAACAGCAGAAGAGCAAGCAGAAGGACATACCACCTCTCTCTCTCCGACGACCCAGACTTCGGAGGAAGTTCACTAACCGGCCTCCTTCAGAAAGCATTAAGGAAAAACAAACATGACAGTGGCAATATAACACTGGTGAACAGACAACGCGGCCAGCTTCATCACACAACGCACAACATTTTGTACCATTACCCGACATGGCGGGACCTACCTGGCATTGACACTTCTATAGAGTCAATACGTCACTGGGGTCAATATGTCAATAGAGATTCAGTATATCACTAGGGTCAATAGGTCACTAGAGATTCAGTATGCCACTGTAGCGCCAGTGTGTCACTAGATTGTCAGTATGTCACTAGAGAATTGATATGTCACTAGACAGTCAATTTGTCATTAGAGATTCAATATGTCACTACAGTGTCAGTATATCACTAGAGCATCAGTATGTCACTAGAGAGTCAGTATGTTACGTGTGAGTCAGTAAGTCACCAGAGAGTCAATATGTCACTACAGTGTCAATATGTCACTAGACAGTCAATACATCACTATGGTCTAAATGTCACTACAGTGTCAGTATGTCACCAGACAGTCAATACATCACTACAGTCAAAAAGTCACTAGAGATTCAGTATGTCACGTCACTAGAGAGTCAATATGTCATTAGACTGTCACTAGAGCATAAATAAGTCACTGGAGCATTAATATGTCACTAGAGTGTCAGTATGTCACTAGAGAGTCAATATATCACTCAATGAACCACATGTGGCCAAATGCATAAACTGTAACAACATGAAAAAACGTTACATACAACATACAAAACAAATATCATTTGGTAGCTGCTTGCAAGCTGCTACTGAACAAATTTTTTTTTTTTTAAAGTAAAATAAAAAAAATAATACTGCTGCAATTAAGAAATAGTACCTTTGACTTTGGCGGGTTTGGGCAGCAAAAATACTAGATCTAGTAGTTACAGATTTTTCGTTTTGCAATAAGAACAATAAAATGTGGTAGGTAGTGGTAGTGTCTGCTCTCATGTGACAGAGCTACAAGGCCGTCTCGCCTGCCTGGCAGCTTGGTCACGTGAGAGCAGAGACACACACAGACACACACAGAAATACACACAGATATACAGACAGACAGACAGACAGACAGACAGACACACACAGAAATACACACAGACATACAGACAGACAGACACACACAGAAATACACACAGACATACAGACAGACACACATGGAAATACACACAGACAGACAGACACACACACAGAAATACAGACACACACAGAAATACACAAAGACATACAGACAGACAGACAGACACACACAGAAATACACCCAGACATACAGACTCATGATAGGCACACACAGACATGCAAACACACACAGACATACTGACATACAAACACACTGACACACACAGACTCACAGACATATACAGACACACAGACAGACACATACAGACACACACACACAGACACATACACACAGACACAGATACACACAAACATATAGACACACACACACACACAACATACACACACACATACAGACACACACACACAGACACACACACAACATACACACACATACAGACACACACACACAGACACACACACAACATACACACACACAGACAGACATACAAACATAGACACATACAGACACACACAACACACAGATACACACACACACAGACACACACACACACACACATACACACACACACACACACACACACACAGCCTACGTACCTGGAGAGAGGTGTGTGCGGGCGGCGGGGGGAGGGGAGGGCGGGGAGACCTGTGGCTCTGGCGGGTAACTGACCACACGGTCCGGCACAGTGGCTGGGGCCATACCCTGGGGACACCAAGCACAACACAACACGTGTTACAAAGAGCAGAATGTGTTACGCACAGAACCTGTTACACAGAACACAATGCGTTACACAGAGCAAACCTTGTTAGAATGTGTTACACAGAACAGAACGTGTTACAGCACTTTCAACACACTAAAATGTGAAAGATGGAGGGTCATTACACGCCAACCTCAGAGTCAGAGACGACACCTCCGGGTATCCAGGTATAACGTGTTACAGCGTTTTCAACACACTGTAACATGTGACAGCACTTTCTACATACTGTGATGTGCTACAGCCCTTCCAACACACTGTAATGTGTTACAGCACTTTCAACACACTATATCGTGTTACAGCATTTTCAACACCCTTTAATGTGTTAAAGCACGTTACAGCACTTTCAACACACTGTTGACTTTTACAGCCTTTTCAACACACTGTCAGAGCTGTTATACTGTCAGCCTTTACACTGTCAGCTTTTATGCTGTCAGGTTGTGTGTGTGTGTGTGTGTGTGTGTGTGTGTGTGTGTGTGTGTGTGTGTGT